CCGGCAAATACTGGAAGGATAATTCATTTGAACCCGAAATGCGATGTTTGCAATTATTGGTTTATAAATTTAACTTGGCGATCGGACTTTATTCCTAGTCAATATTTATTTCGCTATATTAAAATAATTGCCAACATTAATCTAAAAAAACTTACCGATACTATTGGGTACAGGCTCAAAAGTGCGCAATTCTATGACAAGTTTCTTAACCTCGAAAGGCTGGTCGTAATAGATCGACATACGAACTTACGCGGGGAAGTTCTTAGGTATGGGTGGCCTGAGGAGCGTTGGAATAAAGAGTTAAAGTTGAACTAGAGTGACTGGGACCGGGAGTGAAAGTTTGTCCAGGAACTCTTTGAGAAACGCAATATTTTGATTACGACTCTGTTAGCTGTGCCCGATATACAGAGAAGGCGGATTGCAGACATCGCCTAGCGAGATGTGTTTATGGATACTCACGCCACTGGACTCCCATCCAAATCGAGGCCGCCAAGTTTGATATCTACAGTTTTTACAGATGATAACGAGACAATAGATAACGACTGGAACTGTGAAACCGACTGGGGGTATCAAGCTAACTGGGAGCGTAACGCATCTGACGATGAGCCGGACGTTGGGGATGATGATGAGTTTTGGGGGAAGGGTAAAGATGACAGAAATGATGGCGAGAGGGATGATAAGCCGCGGGATTTGGATCCGGAAGGGTATTTCGCTGGTAGTGATGCAGCTTCCATTTCTAGTCTATCGCTTGAATTTAGAGGTGCAATGTAAGGTAAAGAGAAATAAGGAAGACTAAAAAAGTGATAATAATAGCAACGCAAGTAGTTTAAGAATTTTAATATAATGTAGGTTAAGAGGAAGTTCTCATAATTATCCTGATACTTCCTCTTATAATATATAGTAAGAAAGCCAATACTTTTACCTTGACCGCTTCTACTCTTGCCTTAATAATCACTTAATCTTAATTTCGTGTAATTAATATTACGCGCTTCACATATGCATTTAATGACCCAATCCTCCTCATTTTTTTCGCTGCTTCCCTCGACCGTACCGTACTCCCGCGTTAGGACTTGCCGATAGAAGAATGAGAACTTCGTTAGATATTCGTCCCAGCAGAGGCCTAAAGATAAGTAAGCACAGGTCTTGAGCTGCTGCCTGTCCACCTGTGGGAGGAAACCTACTCACCTCTAAGCCGGACTATATTCCAGCACATGCGTGCTGCAATTTGAGTCCTGCCTGGGAATTTATTGAAGATCCATTTCTAAGGCTTGTCCTCTTTTTTGTATGCCAGCAAGCGTTGTTCGTCTATAGGTTCCCATGGGATATTCATCCTTGTGCTTGAACCCTGCTTCTTTTTCCTCGAGCACGCGTCACCGTCGCCGCGGAGATTAGAATCGCTATCGCTCAAATAACTCTCGTTATCGCTGCTTGGTAGCTTACTCTTTCTAACGATAAAGCTCTAGCATCAACGACTTTGCTATACTAAAGTGCAGCTAAAAGCACGTTGTCGAAGACACGGTTTGCCTCCACAGTAGGCGACAAAGTCGTGCTAATGGAGAGTCGGGATGAGATATGCCGGCTGAAGCTAATCAAGAGGAACAAATGTTGCTTTATCGGCTTAATAGTAAAATCGTCGATCTTCTCTATATAACCGATGCTCTCGATAAGTCGAGTAACTTGGCTAAAAGAAACGCCTTGCTCGTCACAACTATCCCGGATCACTGCTGTAAAGGAGCAGTAGTGCGGGGAGAGTGGACGGAACGTAATCTCAGTTAGCGTTGGTAGGACGCCTCTGAACGATCGGTTAAGGTTGTAGTAGTCGGGCGATATGTCTGTATTCGAGGCATATAGTGCAAAAGGCGCTGGCGAAGCCCTACAAAACCTCAGCGACGGACTCAGTACCACGCCCAAGCTAACTCAATTCGATTAGGTAGTAGCAGGGGACAAAATGGCACACCTTAAGCGAGTATAATGTGCCGGTTTGCCGTGCTCTCAAGAGATAAGATGTGGAGCATCTTTGCCTTCCCCTTTATCACCCTCTTCCATCATCTCTCTCTCTCTCTCCACGCCTGTTAACTTGAGGAATATGGCTATACCAAAAGTAAACTTTTAGTACTGATTCCAATGCTTTTGAGTGCACTTTTATGGTGTGGAAGTTCATCAAATGGCTCATATACCGAGCTTTGGAGAACATCAAAAGACTCGGTAATTAAGCTAACAAGGGAGAGAGACTAAGAGCTTTGACCTTAAGTCACCAAGTGGTCTCAAGCCCATGTCAAGTGCTGACGGCATTGACACCAGCCCCTGGCGAGTGGAGACTGGCTCCCTAGTAAGTGCTCTTAGCCCTGGTCAGGGGAGAAGACCATGAGACTGACCCCCTTACTAGCTCAGCTACTTAGCTTACTTAGCGTCTGAGCCTCATTCTCAGCTTATTTAGCTTCCTTTTCCCTTGCACCAGCTCTTAGAAACCCTGCATTAAAGTGGAATCCTCAAAACTCTCCTCATAATCCTTGTTTTTACCCCTGCTCTCAC